CCGTTGCAATCGTTCGTTTGTCAGCTACATGCTAACGAATTACCGTTAAGGCATTTGTTCGAACATCTAGATGGACCTACCAATGGTCAAAAAGGATTTTCTGGACCAATCGGAAAATCATTGGTGGCATGTGAGAAGCTTCCCGTTGTCAAATACACACCCATAAACTGTGTTCTACCGACAGATTTAAATTCTGACGATTTAAGCACAGATCAAAAATATCTGTTTGACTTTTGCACCACTGTCAGTGTTGGCGTTTGTCCTGTAGGCCTTTCACTTCGCAATCCTGGTGTTATCAATCATTCAAGATGGTTAACAACGGCTAATCGAATACTACGCCTGTATATAGCCACAAGATGCCCATCGGATGAATTGAAGACAATGGTTACCTTCATCGTAACAGTTTATGCACCAGCATGGTTTGAAATAAAAAATACTTCTTCATGTAAAGATGGCGCTCGACATGTCCATAATAAAATACTGAAATCACGCTACCTCACAGACGAGCTGAAGAAATTTGTTGATCCAGTAATTCAACGCAACGCATTTTTTACTCATCCAGAAAACCTGTTGCTTGCGATGCTTACCGACGAAAAAACAAAAATACGCGAGTTGGCTCTGAGACGTATAATGAAATCCAGGAGCGCACGAGTTCAGTTAGATCTTTCTGTGTGCCACTAATCAATTTTGAAGCTACCAGTTACATAGACATGATCGATTGGCAAAAAACTCCAATCACAGAGCCTCCAATCGTAATGGACATTGATGACGATACTTTTTTAACCATGATCCGGGAAGAAGATACACCAAGACTGGATTTCGCCCGCTATCCTTGTCACACTCAGTCGGTGGAGAGGCATATTAAGCTAGTTACAGAGGCTTCCCAAGCGGATTGCGGTCCAGAAAAACGCGACGGATTCATAAAAGCATGTTCGGAATCGAGATCAAAAATGCCCAAACTAAACACTAAAGCACAACATCATTTGTAGCTATAAAAGCATGTTTGACTAGAGTTTTTATGTGTTTTTCTTTTCAAATATTTAGTTCTATTTACTTGTAACTTTCGTATAGACTGTTAAAAATGTATACTGCTACACAAATATGTTGTCATATATAAACTTGAAGTTTCAAAAAATATTGTTTTTTATTTGAAATATGCCTATAATTCAGGTCAATTGTGGATCCTCAAGATATGCTTTAAATCGTTTGATTTTTTGCCACATTATTAATTGCATATGTCAGCAAATTTTTAAAGCTATTCAACCAAGATATTCAACAAAAAAAATTTTCACTCCACCCTAATATATATATATATATATATATATATATATATATATATATATATATATATATATATATATATATATATATATATATATATATATATATATATATATATATATATATATATATATATATATATATATATATATATATATATATATAAACTACTGTATTATACTCTCACTATGAGATAGTGGGCATCGACTTTCATTATTTTAGCAATACATATTTGATTGCTCAATATTGGGCGTTGCTCAGTTACGGCTCTATTTTTCTTCCGTAATCTCTATTAATGGCCATCGCCAGAAAGCTGCCGATTTTTTCTTTAATAATTTTGTCAGTAGTGATTTCGAAATGAACCAATACAGCAATAAATGACTAAACGCAATTCTAAAAAATGTTTTTTTAATATCATCACAATATAGTTTTGAAATATATAATTTTTCACGTATAAATATTGTAAAATATTTAGCTTTTATTAAAAGATTTATTTATTAAAAGGATATGTAGAATACAAATATTGTGCTTTACCTATAACGACCTTGCAGGACGCTTTTGTTTCATTCCATACACTGAGTATAAAAAACATACTTCTTTGGCCTTTAGCTGTATTAAGATTGCCGCTGTAAGTTGTTTTCTATCTCCTCCAACCGAAGTAAGAAAGTTCATCTAAAATAAGAAAACAAATGTAATATAATTGGTTGTACTAAAAGTATAATTGTTCCTCATGTGTATGTATTAGACGGTTTTCCATAATGTGATTCTTATTAAAATATGACATTATGGAAGAGTAAAAGCAATTGGTTATCATAGATTATGACATCTGTAGTGGTTAATACACCCTTAAGATGTCATAGATATCTGAGATTAGTAGTCATTGCTACACAAAATACATTGCTAACTGGACATAAAAGATATAAATCACAATAAAATGTAATAAGCATTTATATAAAACATTCTGATATACAACATAATTATAGTCAATCACGTATCATATTGTATCATTTGTTTGTATGTTTCATATAAATGTATCATATATTTTAAAAATTAGAAACTTTAACAGTACATGGTACTGCTTCCAAAAACTATTAACTAATATCAATTCACTATTGATTCATAAGGTGTCTTTGTTCCATAATTTTTCTTATAGGTTTAAAAGACCTTTTTTTATCTATAACCGGCAAATAAATTCAATAAATCGAAAGAGATAGTCAAGCAAAGCTCTGATGGAATCACTTAACCCTAAAACACTAAAGATTTCTGCAATCTTTGAGAAACTGAGAGACAATCTCATCAGTGTCACTTTTTTTGTAACCTACATCCTTTTAAGCTGGAGGCACAGATAATTCCGTATTAATGCAGTCTCATAACTGTCAAAAAAAAGTATAAAGAGATGAAACCATACTAAACAATCAACATTTACTATATTTGAGTCAAATATAGCTGTTTAGATAAAAAACAAAGACAATACTGTAAATAAAACAAAAATAATATTGTAAATAAGACATTAACCAAAAAAATTCTTATTTTCAGCTGCTTTCAGCTACTTTTAAAAGCGTGACTTTACGATTGGCAGCCTAAAGGCAAGATGCTTGCAAGTGATTTGGTCAATACACCAAACTTTCATTGATCCGCCATGAAAAACAGATTATATTCATCGTATACACATTGTTTTTTCATTGAAAAATTCAGCCAGTGCAAACTTTGTAAATTTTATTACCCCCTTCAGTTTAACGATACATAATAACGCTAAAAAATAATCACCAATAAATTTATGATATAAAAAAACTTCACATTATCTTTTTTTTTCAGGTTATTATTTTTTTTTTAACTGAAAATACTAGTCTAAAATTTATTAATTTTCATTTTTTAATGCTTAATGTAATCGCTTTTTATTTCAAATAGAGTTTAATTATTGGTTAGTAAAAAAAAGTGAATTTTTAAGTTTGCGCAGTTTGGAAAGGTTTCTATGATAATATTTTCTTATTTAAATATGACATTAAGGAAGATAAACAACTTGAGGCTCTAAGTAAATATTTACCCCGAGATTACAAGATTCAAATTAGCATAAGATTAAGATCTCATGCTCAATTGAATGAGTTAACCAGGCATAGAATATTTTTCTCAGTTATGGAACACTGAAAAAAAGTGTTTTTAATATACAACACTAAAAAAATAAACATAAAACTTATTCGGTGTTTAATTAATTTTAATTATTTGGTGTTTAATTATAAGAGTTTTGATATAACATATTATTATTATTATTGCTATTATTATTATTATTATTAATGTTGTTGTTATTATTATTTTCTAAGGTTATAATTTTAAAAATAGAATAAATAGGTAAATAAAAAAGCCTATCAACCTTTTGTTCTATTGTATCTAATTGTGTCGGTCTAATTGTTTATATTCAATTGTACATTTGATGAACCCAAGATGCATCTAGATGTTTTTTAAATGTCTTGACAGATGTTGAACACTATTTCAGATGGTAGACTATTCTACAATTTTGTGAATTCCATATTTGAAAAGTTTTTTCTGTCTTAAAAAAGATTTTTTTCAATTTATAAGCATGATCACATGTTAAGTTCGAGTAAGTGATAAATAAGGAGGAATAAATACTAACTAAACACATAATCATATATTAATATTAGGAAGTGGCATGCTATTACAACTCATAATAATCAAATACATAATCATATATTAATATTAACACACATGCTATTACAACTCAGATAAACTACTTATTGGTCTGTAATTATAATAATAAATATAATGGCTGTGCAGATGACATCATTCTGACACAAGTGTTAATGGATAAAATACTGAATGGTATTTAATGAGGAAACGAAAGGGTTGCAACTACAATTATAAAGATTGTGAATGCATTTGTAAGTTTCTGCCATGTCATTACAGAAGAAACGATAGCTCATGTACTAGTTAAATTTAGTCTTAGTAGACTTTGGTTGTAAGTGAGTCCAGTCTGACCAAAAACATTTGAAATTAATTGTTGATCTTTTTGAAGTCTAGGATAGTAGGCAGAGCTGCAAGAATCAAGGTGAGGACGAACAAGGAAAATAAACAAAGTACGAAATGTCAAGATATTGAGATTGACAAAGGATCTTTTGATCATTCCTACAACTTTATCGGCAGTGATATTCTTAGTACTTACAAAATTAAAGTCAAATTACTGTCAATGAAGATCCCAGTATCATCTGTAAATACAGATACAACATCTAAAACCAAATCAGAAAAATCTTTATTATATATCATAAAAGTAAATAATGGGGGACCCAACTATTTACTATTATCCATTCTGAGTATGTACCCCCAACAATGATACTCTAATGCCGATCTCTAAGGTAAAGTTAGTCATCTATTTTATAAGCTTTTAATTTTAGAAGTAGGAGATAGTTGTGAAATGTGTCGAAACCTTTTAATATATCTGATATAAATTTTCTATATCAGTTTTATTCTCCAAGGCTAATGTTTAACATCAATCCTCACTAAAGTTTATTGCATTTTCAAAGTCCCATTTATATAATTTTTACTATTTTCAGCATTACTTATTGTGTGAATTTTACTTTAATCTTGTTTAACTAATCTTAACATAACGTGATGTAGCAGATCTAGTTTAACTTATTAATTTGTTTATTACCTATAATATTGCGTAAAACTATTGCATAAAATAAAATGCTATATAAAATTTAGCCAATATGCTATATAAAATTATAATTAAATTAGCTACTTGGGTTCTTTTCAAGAAAAGGACACATAAAGTTACAGGTTCTACTAGAACAGAAGAGTTATTGCATGCTGAGCTTATGTGGGTAAAAACTAAACAATTGATTGCTAAAAAGCTCAACACATTTTCAGATATTTGTCAATCCTTGAAATTAAAATACGATAGCGATGGTGTTTTACGATTACATGGACGTTTTCCTAATGTACTTGTTGAACTTGATATCAAACATCCAATCTATATTCAGACAGACTCAATGTTTACAAAATTATTAATATTAAGAGCACATGAAAAAACACGCCATGCTGGAATTAACCTTAAATGAAATTTGATCAAAGTCTTGGTTTGCTACAGAAAGAAAACGAATTTTATCGCTTATAAAGCGTTGCATTGTGTACAAGAAAGTACAAGGTAAAACCTTTAATGGTCCTGAACCACCTGTTCTTCCAGAGTACCGTGTAGTACAGTGATTTTGCTTTTGCCAATACAGGAGTTGACTTTGCTGGACCATTTTTCATTAAAGATATATATTCAGAAACCAGCGCATTACACAAAGCTTATTTGATTTTATTTACATGTGCAGCCACAAGGAATGTACACCTAGAATTGACCCCAAGGATGGATGTTCCTTCAGTTATTTGTGCACTAAAATGATTTTTTGCAAAAAGGGGTTATGTAAAAATGTTTATTAGCGATAATTTTTATACGTTTAAATCAAAGGAACTATCTAGATTTTTATGTACCAAATTTATTAATTGGAAATTTATTTTACCGCTCTCCCCATGGTGGAGAAGGTTTTATGAGAGATTAAGACATATAGTTAAAGGAGCGTTAAGGAAAACACTGGGGAAAGCCCGTCTGACATTTGATCAACTGAATGCAGACAGAGCAGAAGTAGAAATGATTCTAAACAGCCGACCTTTGTGTTATGTTTCTGACAGATACGATATGGAGCCATTGACTCCATCTCATTTAACTGTTGGCAGAAGACTTCTTAGTCAAGTAGGATCAGTTAATACAAAAGATCCAGACTCAGTTAAAATCAGTGCACTGGAGCTATTTGAACACTTAAAGACCTCGATTCAGCATTTTAAAACAAGATTTTACAAAAAATACTTAAATGAACTAGGAAAACACCACGTTTACAATCGTCGGAAATACGATGTTATAAATAACATTCAAGTAAATGATATGGTTTTGATTAAAGACGATGATAAATTGCCTCGAAGCCGTTGGAAAAAGGGTGTTGTTATTGAAAAAATAACAGGAAGCGATGGGAAGGTTCAAGGGGCTGTGCTACGCGAAATCGGAAAAGATGGTAATGCTATAAATTTAAATCACTTGTAAATAACGGCAAAAAATAAGAGGAATAAAATACGATTTAAAAAAGTTTTTTCGTGAAAAAACATAACAGAAGGCTAGTTCATATAGGATTCAAAAATGTTTGGCAAAAGAAGCTGATTTGTTTAACATACCTACTATCAAACAACGGAAACGATAACTAGTGGAAGTAATCAAAGAAATAAAGAGACATGTTTAAGATGACAAACATTCTTCTTCGATAAGAAATGCCCTGGGTTAGTTTGACACCGACCATTCATAAGTTATTAGGACATACTTGGGAGCTAATTGAGTTAAAAAATGACACAGGACTTAAATCATGGAGTTAAGAAGAAGTTCAGAACAACTGAGAATATTTAGATAAAAATTATCAAGAAAAACAAATCAGTTGCAGAACTTGGAAGACTGTTTTAAAAGACTCTGGGTGGGTTTTGATCCTTTAGTTATCGAGCAACGGAACTGTAAATTGGGTAGTGAGATAGGGCATAGTAAAAAATTATGCTTCAAAGTACCTGAAAACGGCATTGTTAATACTTTGTTTATGCAAAATGAAAAAATTTAACTTAAGCGTTTCCTTGTATTTTGTTTCTTTAGAAATTTACATAAAATATCTAGTGCAATATGCTAAAAAAACAATAAAACTTACTTTTTATAACTACAAATAACTCCAAAACCGGGTTATTGGTAAATATATGTGGCACACTAAAATAACGGCAATAACATGTAGTTCCCAAATAATATTTTGTTTTAGTGTTACTATATATCTGGTTTTTAAGAGATTTTTTTTTTGCGGAAACGGGCTTTTCGATTCAATTATTTGAAAAGAAAGAAAATTTTTTTATTTAAAACGTTAACAAAAAAATATGTTGAAATAGATATTTTAATTTTTTTTCATTCAATTTTTTAGCAAATAAAGGGTTTTTTCTATTTTTGACTGTAAATCTGTAAATATTTTTCAAATTAGGAAACATATGTGAAAAATCTAACTCTGCCGTGTGAACTTTTATTTTACATGTTTTTTAAATTTTTAAAAGGTTGTCATTTCTTAACGAACCATGATAATGACCTCTAGTCTTTTGCATTTAATTCAAATTTTACTCTAGTTTCAAAAAATTTTAAGATATTTTTAGTCCAAAAAAATGATTTTTTTATTTTGTCTACCATTCGGACCATTGTGTGTCAATCTAAAGGTTTTTTGAATTCAAAAAAAATGTCAAGCTTTTTTTTGAATTCAAAGAACATCAAGATTCTTAGGCTGTTATGTTTTTTGAATTCAAAGAACATCAAGATTCTTAGGCTGTTATAGCCTAACAAAATCCATAAGAAAGTTACAGCCTAACAACATTAACAGTTGTTGTTAGGCTGTGACTTTATCTCTAAAAAAAATGTCAAGATATTTTTTTTTGGAAATAAAGTTACAGCCTAACAACAACTATGGATGAGTTGCGAATCCTGTGACGATCTGTCTGGATCTTGTTGCTCTACTTTGGTCGACGGTATGTGCAAGAATTGCAAACAAGAATGCAAAGCTTATTTTCTTTAGTTAATTAAAAAAACCTTTTTAACTTAATTGCAAATTATGTTTTTAATTTTATTAATAAGTTGCGTAGCGAAAGTCGTAAAGGTCAAAATAAATAAAGTTAATTAATAGAAAATAATACTAATTAAACATAAAAAAAAAAGCTTTTTTATACATGCTCCTTGAGCATATAAAAAAAGGCTTGCTTTTTTTTGAGCCCAGCGCGACGCCTTTCTTGGTTTTTGGTAATACTTAACATTTTATCATCATTTTACAATAAAACATTAAAAATTAGTTTTTATTATTTGACGTTAAGCTTGTGATTCAATATAAGGGTTTATATTGACCGAATTTATAAGGTAGTATTGAAAGGTAGTTTGGTCAAGGTAGCTGTTTTTATTTGAAATAAAAAATCAAATGGTAGTTTTAATTTTTGTTTTTTTATATTTTTTATTTTTACAATATAAATTAACGAAAAACTTGGCTGTGTTATTCGAAATAAAAATGAAAAAACATTTATTTATGCCTGAGATATGAATGTTTGAAAAACCAAAATTAGGCGATTTGACGGTATGAATTAAAAGTTTTAAGTTTTATTTGCATTGTTTAAAAAAATTGATATGCACCACATTTTTTGGATTAAAAAAAGCAGGCGCTAAACTTATGATAAACTTTATAGGTCTGCGTTTTTTTTTAAATTTCAAACCAACCCTCAATGCATTTTTTTTACCGCTAACTTTTTTTGTTTATTCTCGTGTATATATTTTGCATTACGATGTTTGATTTTTTTTTTTAATTTTGCTATAGTATTTGTTAATTGGTTTTTTATTAATAATGATGTTTTTTAATGCATAGGGGAGAGTAGGGTAATGGCGAACGCGGGGTAACTCCGAAGATGGTTAAAACAGCATTGTAAAAAAATAATTATGACAATTTCTTTTTACCTGCTATAAAGGGATCCCATGCTCAGTTTCAGATGTGCAGTAGTATAATGAAGCTGCGGGTGTTGTTTACTATAATTAGATTTTAACTTTTTCTGATAACTTTATGCAACTATTTTCTTGATAACATTCTGTTGTAGCTTCTATGGAAATGAAGCCACTCCTTTTTTTTTTTGTTGCTGTTGCATAATATAATTTTTAAACTAAGTTATTACAATTAGAATTTTTATTCGTTATTACACATCGGTGTTTGTAATAACCTCCCTCCCCCTCCGATGTATTCGGAGTTACCTCACGTACGTAGAATTATTCCAAACGCCATTGGTTTTATTTTTGCCAAATGTTTTATTTTATAATAAGATTTATAAAAACTGCTTTTGAGAGTTTGTGACTGAATAGTTAAACTACACAGCAAAATCCAAGATTCTAGGTTAAGAACCTTTGTTTTTATTTTAAGAACTTTTGTTCTTAATTTAAGAACTTGATTCTTATTTTAAGAACCTGATTCTTATTTTAAGAACTTGATTCTTATTTTAAGAACCTGATTCTTATTTTAAGAACTTGATTCTTGTTTTAAGAATTTGATTCTTATTTTAAAAACTTGATTCTTATTTTAGATTTCCATTCTTATTTAAAAATATTTCAATAAAAAACATTGTTCCTAATTTTATAATATTGTAACATTTTGTTTGTAAATAATATGTATATATATTTATATATGTATACATATTATATACAAACAATGTTTGTATATATATATATATATATACATATATATATATATATATATATATATATATATATATATATATATATATATATATATATATATATATATACACACACATATATATATATATCAATAGATACCTGCAGGTATACCTAAAAAAAATTAAAGAATTCAGAAAAATTAAAGCCACTGAATTTCCTTTTCTGAAAATCCTCCCCACCCTCTGATAGATCTTGTGTTCATGATTTTATGTAATCAAATAATTTAATCCATTTCATCCATAAGACTAAAATACAAACCAGAAAGAGTCGTATACTTCAAGAATTCTATAGAATTTTCTTTTAATAAATGCAATATTTATATCTGCAAATCTGCATAAATCTAAACAGCATAAAAGTAAGTCTTTTGTATGGGCAACGTAGTAGCAGAATAATATAAATGTAAGGTGCAAGCATGCATAAGAGCGAATTGGTTTGAAGTGCTCCAAAGTTGTGTACTTCTTTATAATAAATGAATTTAATAAAAATGAATAAACTGCCGAGCGACGGATCAAGTAATTGTTGTGTGGCTGAGGACTCTGCCCCTTTCGCCTACCCTCCCCCCCCCCAACTGTCATTAGGGCCCCATAATCTTAAAAACCTACAGTCAATTACAAGCGTATGTTCAAAAAGTTCATAAGAAATTTTAGAGATTTTAAAATGGCTGCGGATCTTAGCTACATGTTCAAAAAGTTCAAAAGGATCTTAGCTACATGTTTAAAAAGTTCATAAGAATTTTCAGAGATTTTAAAATGGCTCCGGATCTTAGATTTTTTATATAGAAACTTTTTTTTAATTTTGGTTTTGTAAAAATTAATGCTGCAACTTATTTATTAAACTCGTAATGAATGGAGTATTTGGAGCAAATTTTGTTTGTTGTATTCAAACCTAGCACCCAATTTTTTCATAAATGGAATAACATCAATAAAACTGTATTAAACCAGCAATATATTTTTCTAAAGTCAAATAGATTGTATTAGTAAAAAGCAAATCTCTTTTAATATTAGGTACGCGAAAATCACGATTTACGGAAACGATTGTGCTAAAATTTTGTGGCTCGTTTTTTTAACTTTTTTTTAGGTAGCATTAGGCAAACGTATTTTTGCTAAGTTTTTTTTTAGAAATATATATATACAGATAGATACTTTTTTGAAAGAAGAAAGATTAATCTTGATTTTTGTATAATTATTAGGTATGGTTGCTGAATTTTTTTATGGATTATTTTGGTTCTGAAAAATAGGTTGATGTTCTCACATAAATATGTAGTCGAAGGAATATTGATCCCGGTCTATTTATTATTCAAACAAATTTCTGCATGCAATTTCTATGCACATTTCAAATTTCAACGAAAAAAAAAAGGGCGCAGATAGGTTTCAAAGGGTTCTACCACGCATACTGCATTTTTTCAGTAGTCTTAGTAAAACGTATTTTTATGGTATTTCTTTTTAAAAAAATATGCAAAGAAAGATTTGTTTTTGAAAGAAGAAAGGTTAAGCGTGATTTCTATATAACTTTTATGAATGGTTACTAAACTTCTTTATGGGTTATTTTGCTTCAAATTTTGCATGAAAATATAGACATAGTTCTCACTTGAATTTGTAGTAGAAGGAATGTTAATCCCGCTCTATTTATTATTTAAAAATTTTCTACATTCATTTTCTATGTAAATGCCAAATTTAAACGAAAAAAAAAAGCGAGAAGGCAGTTTACTAAGTGTAACACTTTTGGTACCTAATTTCCGTTTTTCTGATTTTTTTTCGGTTTTAGCAAATTACGGGGGCAGCTAGGGGGGTCATTTGCAAAACAATTGTTATTGCGAGAATGTTTATTCGGATTTTTATTATTAAATAATAACATGGAAAAAACGAATGAAGTTTAGTTGTAACAACTAGTAAGTTAATTTTTTTAATAAAAGTATAAGTAATAATTTTCAAAACTAAATTATGTTGATAAATTTAAAAATCTTTTTTAAATTCTTAACGTTTAAGACTAAAACTTCAGTAAAAATGTTGCTTTTGAATTAATTGTTAACTCAATTGAGTTACAATTGAGAATACTTTGATCAAAATATCAGTGGACAACTTTATAAAAATACCATACATAAATAAGTGTAAAGATCGCATACTTTATGTGATGTTACACTTATTTATCTTTACACTTATTTACTTTACTAACAAAAGCCTTGTAAGTGTTTTTAAAATATATTATCATCATCTTATTATCATTTTAAAATAAAACCATTTAATTATCGATCACAACAGCCTGTTAAATAGGCTATTGTAAACAATAATTAAAAGATAAAGTAGTATACAATTTATATATTCCATTATCTAAACATGTTAATTAAATACAAAAATAAAGTAATATACAATAAATTAATTTTAATAGTCAATAAAAGTTATAACTTTTTTTATTAAAATACTTTAAAAACATAAACTTAATCATTAAATTAATGTTTTTAAAATGTTTTAATAATGTTAAAGCAATATTAATAGTATAAAAGATAAAATTGTTATTAACTAATAATATTCAATAACAGTTTTATCTTTTATACTATCAATATTGTTTTTTATTAATAATTTTGAATTATAAATTTCAAGTTAATAAAAAATTAATAATAATTATTAATTTATTGTTTACTACTTTAACTTTGTAGCAATATTCTAAGTGTTAGTTTGTTGTTTGTAATTATATTTTTTTTATATTTTCATTGTTAATTTTCTGTTTAAGTTTTCATTTTGCTATTTATGATGGTAGAATTGAAAAAAGTAACCAAGAAATAACAAGGCAGAATTTACACTATTTCTTATTGGAAACAAGATGGAACTGATATTGAACTGTCAAAAGATTAAAAACTCCAGCTAGTTGCTGTTATTATATCAGGGAAGTTTACATTTTTTTAATTGGAATATGAAATTAATGTAAAAATGCTCACAGTATAGCAAGCTTTGTAACCAGCAAAATAACTGCCACAAGTTTTATGGCTTGCAAATAGGTTTTGAAAGTTTTGTGGCTTGAAAATAAGTACAACAAGTTTTTTGACTAGCAAATAAGTACCACAAGTTTTGTTGCTTGAATAAGGTACAGTAAGTTTTGTGGCTTGCAAATTGATTATTTGGCTCTGGCTTACCTTTACGTGGTGTCTATTGTTAAAAATTATTCATTTTGTTTCGTTAATGTAATTTAAAAATTAAATTATTTACTAGAAGCCCAGACAAGAAATAACTACATTTTTTATTTCAAAAAACTTGTTGTTTTTTTTGTGTTTTTTTCTCAGGTTGGAGTGGTTAATCTTTTACTTTACATGATAATGTATACTCAGTTGCATCTTGTAATGTGGTAAAATAGTTTTTTATTCTTATTTCTTTTTCTTTAAAAACACATTTAAAGACTTCTTTGTTAAATTGTAATTAAAATTTTTTTATTTTTTTCCGACAGAGGAGGGGGATGGCTTGCTCCTCTTTTTATAAAGACAAATTATACACCTCTAGGTGTATAAATTGCCTTTATGAAAGGGGGTGCATAAAGGCAATTTATACATACTATACTACACTTTTTTTATTTCAAAAGGCTTGTTGTTTTTGTGTTTTTTTTTTAGGTTGGAGTGTGTAATCCGTCTTTTTTCATGACAAAATAGTTACTGCATTTTGTAATAAGTTAAAATATTTTTTTATACTAATTTCTCTCTGTTTTTTAAAATAGCAATTTAACATTTTTTTGTGAAATTTTCATAAAATATATTTTTTCAGGTTCATGGCAGGGGGGGAAGGCAGTATACGCCCTCTTCCATCAAAGCAATCTATACACCACTAGTTACTCTTTGTTATAGTGTTGAAAGATATTTTTTTGTTTTTTATAGTAGATTTAATCATTTTAGTAAAGATTGTAATAATTAAAAGAATGAAATTTTGATAGGGTGTGTTAAACCTTCCCCAAAACCCAACACCCAACTTTAAGATAAACCTGTAATATTTGCTAGTGATGTGAAATAAATAAGTAATAACTTGTTATATATAAATATTACTAATTTTATAAAGAAAACACTCTATTTTAAAAAAGTTGTATTTTTGTGATGTGTAGGTGGCGGATTAGCACCCCTTCTGGATCCCTCTATGCGCCCTAGACACTAGTTTGAAATTATAGCCCATTTTTACATCTATCTTTTGATACTAAGTTATAAATATTTAAATAAGAATTGTCAAAGTTTTTTTGACCACAGTTTTATCAAGAAATCCATATATTGAAAAATTGCTACTAAAAACATTATATTTTTTTATAGAATTGTCTGATTTTCATAATTTTTTTCACCTTTAAAATGCTGTATTTGAGGGCTTTTCAATGATATATAGCATTCTAGTATTGGATCAATATAAAAAAGTCAGTCCACAAACCTATTAATATAAATTTTATTTCTCAAACATACTGCAAACACTCTAATATGATATATTATATATACTTATAACTTATGAACCAATAATTTTTTCTGAATATCTAATCTAAAAATAAGATATTTAAATTAATTTACTTTCAACAATATCACTCTAATTCTAATATTCTTTTCTTTCTATTTAAAATCAAATTGTGTGCTCTTGTTCATCTATTAAATTGTCTATTTGTCTGAAATCACACACAAGTTACCCTACCTCTTCCAATTTGTAATTTCTTTACTTCTATAAAAAATTCTTAAAATTTTCTTCCTCTTTTAGCAACCTTAAATTATATATTCTAAATCATTGTTCAGTTAAGTACAGCATAACAAATCACATCACAAACCAATGCATAAAATCACGAAATAATTTATCATTTTTTTATTCATAGAATAATTTATTTTTTATATTTTATATCTTTATATCACTTATCACTTTATATCACTAAACTTTACTACTAAAACTCATCTTTAAGTCTTTTTATTTTGGAGAAATGTAATTACTGTACTTAAAATGTTGGGCTCATTGTGGGTCATTATTATTGCTCTTGGTATGATTATATGTAATATAAATATCAAAGTTATTTTACTTCTATTCATATCACTATTACTTATTGTTATTGTTTAATATTAAATTTAATATTTATCAATATTATTGTTACTATTATTATTGTTATTATTATATTAATATAAATATAATTGTTAACATTTGTTACCTTGTTATAATTGTTTTAATATTGTTTTTGCTATTATTATACAATTGGTTTTTACTTAAGATTAGTATTAGTACTATTTCTAAATGTCCATGTTTATGTTGCATACATACACATATATGACATATGTGTGTGTTTTCTTTTAAGCAATTGCAAGTTTCCAAATACATGCAAAGTAAAGTAAGTAAAGAAAACAATACTTTTCAATTAGTAAATTTAGTATTATTAATTAATTTTAATTTTTTACATTTTTTATCCTTATTTTTATAACACGATCAATTAAAATGCACTAGAAATTTGTTCTGGTGCATTTTAATTGAACTAAGTATAGAATTTTAATTTATTAACCTGGGTAAATAAATTTCCAATTGAGAGAGTTGATAGAGTTGCAGCATTTTTAGAGAAATATCAATGTGTCCCTAATGTGCTATTGGTAAAAAATTTTTTTTTACCAATAGCACAGTGATTTCATATATTTATTGGATAAAATGAAATAGTGTTTGAAAATCACAAATCCTTTTTTAAATGAGAAGGTATTTTCAAAACTGCTATGTCCTCTAGTGGGTTATTCTATAAGTTTTCTCTGCTTTTTAAAGTTGTCTGCTTTTTTTATTATTATTATTTAATTCAGACTGTTGGCGACATGGCACATGTATTAAAGTCTTCTGTCACAGTTGACTCAGCAAGAATGAAGACATTGATACACTTTTGCATTATGGAATACACAAGTTGGCAGTTCCTCGCCCACTGCCACCCAAATACAGGTAGGTAGGTATGCATGCATACACAACCCTCAAAATTAGTAAAACTAAAATGAGTTATAAATTGTCGACATTTTAAGATATGAAAAGATATTATTGTTAAATTTTGAGTTTGTAAAATTTAAGCAACTTGCTTAAATATCTTAAATAAGAGTAATTAAATATTAAAAATTAACTAAGTATATACAAATATGTAATAACAAAAAATGTTCCAGATTTCAAAAAGGTATCCGTGCAACGTTATTAATATTAATAATAATGCAAAAACGGTTGAACGGTTCGATGAAGAACTATAACGGGTTATTTAAAGTACATTATTTTAAGGTTCTTGCAAACAACCGTTTCAAATGCTTCTTTGAAGAACCTCTACGGGTGCTCCATCAGCGTCAACACGAAGAACCCTTAAAGGTTCTTTAAAGAACCTTACGTTAAGGTTCTTCCGAAGAACCCTCTTAAAGGGTTTTTTAAAGAACCTTAACGGGTGCTCCACCAGCGTCAACGCGAAGATCCCTTAAAGATTCTTAGAAGAACCATTCGGCTTAAAAGTGTATGAATAGAAAAATTATAAGCTTTGAATGTTTCTAAGGTACACTAAGAATTTCAAAATTTATTGAATTCTGATCAACCTTTCTTTTTAAAAACTGCTCAAGTTTTAATAAAACTGTTCAAGTTGATGTTTTCTTTAATCACGTGATTATTGTAAAAAATGATGATGTTTTAAATTATAAGAAACATGAGGAGAAGTTTCCACTGCTAAAAGAGTTAGCACTAATTTACTAGAACTACCTGAATCTTTTCTATTTTTGTAAGATCGTTTTCATGAATTATGAGAAAGAGCAATCGAGGTTAAAAATGTTAACTTCTCTACGTTGAGGTAAAAGAAATATTAATGAATGAAAAACTAATGTATTTATTGTGCATATATAGTTTTAGTAGTATTTCAATATTACCATTAATAACAATGCTGAATAGAAACCATTTACATTAAATTGTTTAAAAGTATAACATTTTTAGATATCTTTCAGTTTTCAAATAATATTAACATGAAATTTCTGTGATATAAAAAAACAGATAAAGTTTTTATCCAGTCAAATATCGGATACAGAATAATACTCCTGATCGGCCCGGATATCGGGCCGTATAGCTTATCCCGTACACCCCTATTTAGCAGTATACTTTTTTTTATTTATTAGTGTTTCCAGAAAGTTGCAGGATTGCACTCTGTATAATATAATAGTCACAGCAATCGTTTAAATGCATTGAATGTAAGTCACTGGAGTATAGCACTCAGAAAATTATTTTATATTGTTCCAACTATTGCGACGTTAATTGCAAAAACAAATTAAAAAAAAACAATTTTTTTGAAAATCAACTTTATATAACACGCATTTCTTAACTTAAGATTTCCATTTATACCAACCATACTTTTAAGTTTATTACTTGTACCGTAGCGTGGGGTAATTGAGCATCACTTTTTGAAGCTTTTATTTAAATAAAACAAAAACTTGTAGAAAATTTTAAAAAGTGAGATATGTTATTTTAGTACTATATTAGGTCTACCATTTAAAAAGGTTGAATTAAAAAAAAAAATTCCAGCAAAGAGTTAATGACACAAAATATGCGGGTGCGCTTTTACCCCACGATTTGGGGTAAACGAGCATCTTAATATCTTTTTCATAAACATATATATATGTTTCATAAACATATATATATGTTTCATAAACATTTAATTTCATGTTATAAAAATTATTGATAGTATTTTATCAAAAGCATCATACTTTGTAAGTGTGTGCGCGCAAAAGTTCCTTATCTGACACTCAGTCCCATTTTTGTATCATCCTGGCCCCCTGCAAAAAATTAAATTCAAAGACAAACAATGCAGCAGACGAATTTCCTTTATCTAATCTAATATTCTTTACCTAGCATTCAAATAAACTTAGATATTTTTTATTTGTATGTTGAACATAATCAAATGGAACAATTTTTTTTATTTCACGTTTCATAACTTATTAAAAAAAAAGGTTTCTTGTGTATTAAAAAAATTAATAATCCAGACAAACTAACCGGACTTCCTATTACCCTGACTCATAATATATACATGGGTGATAGATGTGAACACTAGTATAAACTTACATAAGTTTAAAGTTGGTTTAAGTCAACTTTCTCAAACATAAAATAAACAAATGAAAAAATAGTCTAATATATTTTGTTCAAACTTTATAACAAAATAAAACAAAAAAACATAAATATATGATACAGATACATCAACGCATATATAAGTCACCAATGATTTCTTTTTAAAAAGATATGTTGTTTTTTTCATATTGGGGACAAGGTAGCTGTTTAACAATAGATTTGCTTTCTGTTAATAAGTAATCAGGAACCTGCGGTTCTTTGAAGGATATGATTTTTGGGTTTGAAGCATCAAAATCTCGTCTAAAGTATTTAATGTTCCAATTATTATCTTTCTCGGAATTTACAACTTGGCCTACAAAATGATATGGTATCTTTTTTCCTTCAAATCTTACAATAACATAAGAACCCTCTACTAATGGATATTTATAGGTTACAACCGTACCAGAATCATGTACTTCTTTATTAGAATTAGGATCTGATTCAAAGCTCTTTTTTAAGCAGTCTTCATTTAAGCAGTCTTCAAGCTTTTTTAGGATATGTGTTTGCTTTTGATGGAAAATGGAACCATAAAGGCTAGAAACACCATTATACAAATTACTTTTTTAAGCAAATAAATCTTTTTTTTTTTAACGTTTTTCTTTTGACTTTCTGTATACCCTCAGATTTTTTTGCAGAATCTTCTTGTAGCTCTATATACTTCATGGAGCTGGAAGGCATATCATAATCGATAATATCTTTAAAACTATCCAAATCTACTGAAGAAGTTATTTTACCTAAGGAGTCATTCAAAAGGATATTTTTTATTTTTGCGTTTTGATTGGGATTTTAAAACAGAAGAAACTGTAACATCATCCAGTGAAACACTTTTTCCCGGTGAAACCTTGACTATTTTCCCACGCAACACTGCCCCAGTCTTTTTAGCAGATCCTTCTCTAAGTTCTTTAAGACGTTCAAGAACTCACGGGGATACTAAGTTTTGAGAGGATGTAGAAATGTCTGCTCTTAAAATCTTATCAATAATTTTTTTTCTGTTTAGCGGGTAGATACCAGATGTTTTAAACCCATTTACAGCCAACTCTTGTATGTGGTCCGTATTAGATATTAGATTAAGGAGCAATCTCTGGAAAACATTTTTTGTTTGGGATTTATGAAACCTCCCTTCCCCAATTTTCCATGCAGTAAGCACTTTTCTCCATGTTGATTTCATGGGTCCATAAACTGCAAGATCTAGAGGTTGCAGCAAATGTGTACTGTTTTGAGGTAAAAAGACCATCATAATATTATTAGCCTCACAAATTTCTATAACCTCAATAAACAAATGGCATGCTAAATTATTACCAATGAGAATTTTTGGTGCGTCATTGTCAACATGTCTGAAGTAAGGTATTACTAATGTTTTGCATCCAATCTATAAAACAGTGACTATCAAACCAACCAGACTTTGTTCGGTTATATCGTGCACCCATTGGACCTCCAAGTATCCATGTGTCCATTAGACGCTCAGCTTTATACACTGTATATGGAGGAAAAATACACCATCAGCAGAACATGCAAACATAATAGACACTGATGACTTTGATGTATTCATAACTCGTTCAGCATGTTTAGTACCCTTTCGGAATATCATTTGTTTTGATTTTGGGTCATCAGAAAGATTTGTTTCATCATAGTTTATTATATTTTGAGGCAAAATCTTTTTTATAGTTTCTTCTAAATTACTAAAAAATCTATTTACAGAATCATATGAAAATGCAGCACGTTTTTTTAGCAATTTTTTTTGTCGTTTTAAAAATGATCTCACCCAATCATTACCAATCAAATTTTCTTTAAAGTATGGGCAATCCCTATCAGATTTTTGAAGAAAACTTTGTACAAACAGCTTTAGATCTACTATTTCGAATGCATAGCCAAAATCGCTAAAAGTTGCAATGTATTGAGCAATTGTTACTTCCTCTTCTGGTAACAATGCACTCCTTCAACCAACCACACCAGTTTTTCTTAAACCACTAATATGACATCTTAGAGTTCTGTGTGGTATGTTCAATAGCCTTGCATCACGTTTACAAGGTTCTCCATCATTAACAAGTTTTACTGCTTTTTTAAGTTCATAATCTGTAGGTTATGAACTTAAAAAATTGTACCTGTGTAGGTTTTGGAAAGTTTTTGTTTTGATTTTACGTAGTTTCACCATTTTATCAGATATCTAATATGTAAAAGGAAAACACATAAGCTAAAAATTTAAATTATTTGCACCTTTAGATACTTATTTCATCAACAATAGTATTTAAAGGGTAAAAAACAGCTACTTGAAAAGGTGCTCATTTACCCCAAATAAAAGTGCTCAATTTCCCCACATTACTTTAAACAACAATATTTTATTAAAAATTCATTTATAACACTTTAGAATTTATACGAATTTACCTTAACATATGTATAGTATGCTACAAAAAATTCAAAACTCTAAGAAGGTTTTAACTATAACTGCTTACCCTTAGTATTTCCAGTTATTAGTTTTCACGGAATTTTATGATTCTGCATCGTGATAAATTTAAAATGTTAACAGCTATTTATTTTTGACCAAAACAGTTGTAATTAGCAACATACAATTTAAAAAAGTTAATTTAAATATTTATATCATGAAAATGATCTAGGCATTGATATTATCTATTTTATATGACTTTTAAAACTAAAATGTTTACGGGTGCTCAATTACCCCAGAAAGTGCTCAATTACCCCACGCTACGGTAGTTGTATTTTTTTTTTTTTTTTTTGATTTATCATTTTGGTAGTTTCATCTAAAACAACCCTGTTAATATCAACTATATGTAGTTATCGAAAAGGTACAGATTTGTTGTTA